ATATATGGGACAATTGAAAGGCCATTGGCGTTGGAACGGTTGCCTTTTTCCTTAAGACATTTCATCAGGACATTGCTGTTATAAATATACAAATCTAGGTTGCACAAACTAGACCACAATATGCATGAGCTGGAGCATGCTAAGCTGGAGGGCAGCAGGACTCAATATACTGGACAAGTCAGCCATGGCTGGAGCAGTGGGCACTGCTCGTTTCTCAGGGATTAGAGTTCTAATTGGATGAGTAGTGGGCAGCCTCAAGAGGATTTTATCAGGGGAGTGACACAATCAGCTCTGTACCTGAATAAGCTCATGCTTTCTGACTGCTGTGAATTTCCTGATAAAATGGTTTAGAAGTATTCTTAAGTAAGCAAGCCACATATTCAATTCTCTTGCCTTTTATAGTACTTTATAGGTACTTTGGTCGATGACCTTGCTACTCGAAAGGTCGTCCAGGGACCAGCAGCAGCGGGAGGAGCAAACCTGGGAGCTTATTAGAAATGTAGGTTCTCAGGCCCCACCTATTGAATCAGAATCTTCCATGTTAACTGACCCCCCAGGTGGGGTTTGTTCTTGAAAGTCAAGAATATCAAGCTTCTGTCATTCATATGCCTTGTGACTCAAAAGATCAGGAAAACATTAACAATAAATAAGAGAATTTGAACTGATTCATTCATTTTTAAGTCAAGCATTACTTGGTAGAGATACCAGCCCTCTAGCTAGAATTCTCTGCCAAGCAGTTACTTGATTATCTTTAGACACTTTGTTGTAAGATTGAAAGTACAAAGTGTACTATCAAAATGATCCATTATAGGAGTTCCTGATAGATCCCATGAATGTGCCACTTGCAGTTTGGTGAACATGCTGTGGCTCTGCCTGGAGGCTGTGTGGTGTGGTGTGGTGTGGTGTGGCCTGGTGGGGAAAGGAGTCTCTGGAAGCCAGCAGTCTGGGTCACATCCTGCTTTCCACTTAGATCAGTGACTCAAGTTTGATGTGTCTCAATTTCCTAATCTGTGAAATGGAAATCATTGTACCTATCTGTACACAGAGTTGTTATGAGGATTCAGTGAGTGAATACATTTAAAGCACTTAGAAATGTCTGGAACATGTTAAATATCATGTATTTGCTAGTTTGTTATTATATTACAATGGCAAATTGCAAGAAGCCAAGAAGTTTCATTGGAAATCATTCTTGGGGCAATGGGCAAAGAAAAGAATGTTAGTCACACTCCATTCAAATGTCACCAGCAGGAAAAGGCCACCTGCTAACAATTGAGAAATTGCCAAATATTTGTTCCTTTGATGCCACATGTAAGGAACTGCTTCGGCCATGTGGCCTCACTGAGATAATTACCAAAACAATCACCTTGGTTTTTTAAAGTCAGTAATCCAGAATAGTGTCTTACAATTCTAAATTCTTCTATAAACACTTGTAGTTGAGAATTATTTTTCTTCAAATTTAAGATGACCTAATTTAAAAAGAAAACCAACAAACATTACCAAATGAATTATATCATGCCAAACTCTACCCAAAGAATGTTATAAACCACCTACCACGTGAAATCAGTTTATTTTTATCAAGTTTTAGCAGCATACACATTCCCTCACTTTTATACGTGGAATTATTATCCATGGCAAAAACATGATTCTACTTCCTAGAAGCTGCAGCCGGTGAAGCATTTATTATACAGTACAATTTTACAATTCATTTATTTAATTTGGCTATTTTCTGACCTTCAGTGAAGTTGCATCTCATATTACAAGATAGTCTTTCCATATATGTTCTGCTGATTCTTTTAGACTAAATAGAAATTCTAATAAATCATTTTCATAGAGCCAAACCGAAGCAGCAGTCATTGCTCTGACTACAAGATAAACCCCATATGTTTTAATCTTTTTATTATATGGTTGTCTATCAAAAAATTCTGTACCTAACAGAATTTAGTAACTCCTTAGTGAATGAAGAGAGCCTTGTTTTAAAATATGTATAATAAAATATCCACTTAAAATCTCTTTATTCTTATTCATGAGCCAATTTAACACAGATTTTTATCAATGAGACTGAAAAGATACTATTTATAAAGAAAAACTCTCCCATAAAAAAGCTGATAATTAGGTTGCTTGAAACACCTAATTCCGCATATTTTACTCTAACATTTGCTTTCCTAAAAATATCATCAAACTTCTAAATTACCAAATGGTGTTCTAAAATACTGAGACTTCCAAACAAATGAAATGAAAATCTCTGTAAAAATATTACAAACTTATTTTTTATTACATAATAATTTCCATCTTAGTCTAGCTAGTAAGATTCCATGAGTATATTGTTTCTAACTCAAAGTGACAAGACTTTTACTAGAGCTTAATATGTCAGTCAATCAACTGATTTATAAATTCTTTCACTTCATCCTTACAATTTTTAAAGTAGCTAGCAAACTCAATATAAGACAATGCCAGAGTGGCTATGTAACCCTGATCAAACACCTAATAGACTTTATAAAAACAATGGGTATTTAAGCAGATTGGGTAAATACATTTGTGTACCCCTTAAGAACCAAACTGAAGGTGATATAATATGGTACCTTTGATAATCGAAATCTCTCATACACACCAGAAGGCAATCTAATAGTTTTGATAGACAAATATGAGATTTATTTGTAAGAAAACATGGTTAAATACTCAAAACGGCAACCCTTTTTCCTATATTTAATGGCTATAGTCAAAAAGGTTTGCTCTCAATTGATTTTCCAGACTGTTCTATATCACTGTATCAATAGGAGAATTTTTCTTCTGGGACCATCCCCATGAGTTTCAATGATTCTATTAACATTAGAGTAACACTCCAGCTGTGTCAGATATTATCCGTGTCACATAGCCACCTTGTATCATATTTTATATCCTAACAAATTACTGACTAGCCAATTACTGGACATTTTCTATGAAAAGCACTGTGCTAGTCTGAGGAAGAATATAAAAGTCTATGATCAGCCCTAACTACCTAGCTGGAAAGACCAGTTAAATACACATGCATCAGGGTGTCCTGGTTGATTCTACCTGAAAGCAGACAGATTACAGTTCTTCCAGATACTCATAAAACCAGGGTTTTATGTATATATATAAACTTATATATATATTTTATATATAAGCAAATATATATATATAGTTCTATACATATACATATACACATATGAATGTATATAGAAAGGGCAGGGGACAAAAAGCTCTCAGTTCAAAATCCAGGTCTATCCACCATTTATGTACTAGCTACCTGTGTCTCTGGGCAAGTAATATTATCTTAATCTTTCATGTTGTTATTTTGAACAGTATATACTTTATAAGGTTATAATAAGAATCAAAGTAGATAACAAATGTAAAGTGAGCACTGAGCCTGACACCTAAACAAATCAAAAATAAATGTTGGCTACTTGATGAAGCCATTTTCCCAGCACCCATTTTCCCATTAGGAGGTGGAATCACAGCCTGAACCAAAAGAAGTAGCTTTCAAGTGACCTTTGTGAGATGTCAGGCCCAACAACACTGCGTGGGTCTAAGGGAATAAAGTTAGGCTCAGAATGTAGGAGAGGGGTGATTTCCAAACTTCCACGGGAAACAGTACAGCTTGAGGAGTTGTGACTTGGACATCACAAATTTTGTGGATTTGAGAGCACAGGGGGAGAAGCGATGTTCTCACAAGGGCTCTGGAGGGAGGCCCCTTCCCTAAGGGGCTCTAGGGAAGCAAACATCGAGGCAGATGGGAGAGGAAAACATGAGGCACTGGTCCTCAGCAGATTCGAGAAACCAAAAAGTGCCAGAAATGACTGGAGTGATTTGGAAGGGGAATGCTACCAACCTCAAGTTGATACCAACAAGCTGGTAGGGCCTCCTGACATTTCCCTCATTCATATGCAAATGTATAACAATATAAGGCCGGGTGTGCTAAAAGCAAACAAGCAACCAAGATAATGGATACTGTGAAGTTCCAAGAAGAGATAAGAGCTAACTGGAGCCTTCAAAGATCTGGAACATCAGCTAGTCCTTGTGGACTGGTGGAAACCAAGTTGTCTATGGTGAGTTTTTCAAATAGGAAAATGCGTGAGCCAAGTTGTGCACAGAGCATGTGCCCTGGGTTTGGGGACAATGGCTGAATTATGCGTGTGCGTGTGTGCAAGGGAATAATGGGAAACAAGGTTAGAAAACTAGGGTATGATTGTATCTGAATGGCTGAAGGTCATGGATTTGGTCCTGCAGGTGATGGAGAACTAGAGAAAAAACAATTTTGATTTGGGAAACAAAGTGAAGCTAGTGATTGATTAAATTAATTTGGCATCATGGGTTGTACGGAATAGAAGGAGAAATGTGTAGGGTTATGTGAAAATAGTTAGAAAACTCTTCACAGGTGTAGCAGGAGAGCAGTGGGACACATTAGGCTGGCATAACATTACTAACCATTTTCTAAAATAACACTTACAGAGAAAAAAATCTAATTAAGAGAAATATGATCTTCTGTTACTCCTCAATTTCCATTCATAATTTTCTCATGATTATGTCTCCATGCCCCAATGGATATGGCTGTAAGGCACAGCTTGCTTGTTTATAAGTTATATAAGAGCTCTTAAAGATCCACTGAAATTTCTAGTGAGGTTCTAATGTAATCTTTCTCTCTCTGTTTGGCTCTCTCTTAGGTCTAATTGAGGCTCTGTTTTGGACCTATAACTCTGTTTCTAGAATATTCTTAGGCATTTCAAATCCCAGATATTGATAATTATGACAGACAGTATTATATAAAAATATTGTTTTCCTTTATTCAGAGTCCCTGAAAAAAAAATCTTTCCAATAGGCTTATAGAGCAATTCGATATTTTGCCTGCTGCTAACCCCACTCACTGTTAATACAGTGCAATTGGTTTACATTCCTCTGCCAACATTCAAGAAGGAAAAAAATTTTCATTCAACTCAAACAATGACGGGGTTTTTTGAGGACATTCTCATAATTGCAATACTCACTTGAGCTCTTCAGCAAGATTCTCAGTAAAAAACCATTCTGATGCAGTAGGGTTTCCAGAAGCAGGTTCCAGTTACACCCTGGCTGGGCTAACAGCAGTTTCAATTGACCCTCGGTCGTCAGTCGTCCAGCTGATGAAGTCCTTTCAAAATGCAAGATAAAAGTGGAGTAATGAAGTTAATTTATCTATGAAATTAATAGCCTTAAAGTACAGATGTAATGCTAACTCTCTTAAATGTCAATTCCTCCAAGATTACTCTGAAAATGCTTTCATGCTTGCTTACTTTAGGGTTGCTCAGGGAAGGAATTACATTTAATCTCAACTAGCTAAAAGCAAATTGACATTTGGTAGCCTGCCAAATTTAAAACTGATACTAAATAACCATGCCTATATTCCACAGAACTATGTCTGTTTAAGTTTCATGGACCGAATAAAAATCATTTATGCATTTATTCAGAATGCATTTATTTGTTCATTCACCAACTATATGAGTGCCTACTATATGCTATTAACTCCCTTCAATATTCATGGCAAGAAGTTGCAATGGGTTTTGGTTACTTTGTAATTTGTCATGTACTATGATTGCTGATAAAACTAAAGGAATTCAAAGCTTCTGTCAAGGGTCAACCATAATCTAATTATTTAATATGTAAAGTCTTAAATCAACATGCAATCATCAGAATCACTCTAACAGTCGAACTGCTACCAACTTAGGTAATCATTTCATCAAAGAAAGTAATTCCAAGGCAAATAAGCTTCTATTTGGGAAATTATCATCAGTGTTGAACAGAAAATCAAAGTCAGGTTCCCATATCACCACTTTCATTTACTAATGAATCAACAGGAGATAAGAAAGTAAAGTAAAAACTGAAAACTGATAACATAATTCATGTTTTCCTTCTAAAATCTTAACCTTTAGGTTGGCTAAAGATCACAACATCTAAAATCATCTTACAATCACCACAACAAAAAGGCAGGAAACAATCCAACTCAATCTGGTTGCACCAGCACTAAGGACTGCGGGAACAGGGTGGCATCGGGAAGCAAAGGTGTGACTGAGCCATGTACACACATGAATGAGAGGCCTATAACTTCAGCGTGGAGCGTGGGAAAAGGCAGAACAAAGGATATTGCGGGGAGAAATAATTGGCAGAATCATTTCCAGATGAAATTTACAAGTGGTGGACCATCCAGTTATCAACAATGTCCAGACCAGTGGTTTTCCAAGCCTGGGCGCTGGACCAGCTGCAGCAGCATCACCCATGAAATGGTAAAAAAGCAAATTCCCAAGCCCCATCCCATCAGAATTCTGGAGACGGGCCCCAGAAATGAGTGCTTTAACAAGCCCACTGCAGGAGATCCTGATGTACGCTCAGGTCTGAGAACCACTGTGGTAAGCAGTGCTTCCTGGAGCTCAGGTCCTGAGGATGGACCTTAGCATAATCTCCCTGCCTCTGTGCCCTTGTGCCCATTCATGTCCACCTTGGCTGCCACCCCTGCAATAATCCTTTCCTTGTCTTAACCCTACCCATCTTTCTATTTGCAGCAAAAATATTGCTTTCTCTGTGAAGTCTTCATTAAACATTTCTCTGCACAGTGGTCTATCTCGCTCTGAATTAACACACTTATGACAACTATATACATTTTAGCACTTTATTATTTCATCAATTAAAACTTTATCAGAATCAAACCTCATGAGGACACAAGAATTTGTTTTATACCTTCAGATCTCCTATCAATGAACTAAGCACATTTAAGGTCTCTGTAAATGTTAGCTGATTGAATCTTAGGCTCATAAATGGGTAGACAAACTCTTTTTTTTTTTTTTAAAGAGGATGCTTTGCCAAAAGGCTGTTTTAAGCAAAAGTGAGAGGATCTAAAGATATAAAATGAAGAAGTTTCAAAACACCCCCTCCTTGACTTGGCTTGGCTTGGCTTGGCATTTGGATCATCTCACAGCCTTATGATACACAGACTCCTTCAGCCTGCGTCTGAACTTTGGGCCAAGCCAGGCTTCCCACGTGGGACTCTGATAAACATGGCTGGAGAGAAACTCCTGCCCTGAGGAACCGAGTCCACCAGTTCGGGAGCTCTGAGTTACTGTGAGTGTCCCCAGGCTGGTGCGCCTCGTGCTGTTCCAAATATGCTACCAAGGGGACTATCCACCACGAGAGACCTTCAGACTGAAACACTGAAGCAGGTCCTCACAATGGCTGTCCCTGTTTCTCTCCTAAAGCCCAAGTGCTAATTCCTAGAGACTTGCTTGGGGTTCAGTAAGTGAAAAGCAGCTAGTTGGTAGTTAGTGGTGTACTAAAATTGATTTAGTTTTTGAACATTTCCTATAGATTCTACTGGAGTCGAGTGCTGGTTTAAGGATACATTTAATGAACTGAAAGATCAAGTTTGGTGAAGCGTAGAAAAGAAGCGGGGTCTTTGAGAGACAGCTGGAGGAAGGAGACTGGAGCCAGATCATAGAGGGCCTCATTAGTAGGGACTGGGGGCCCGTTTAAGAGTTTAAGGCAGACGAGTTTCTTGATCTGACTGCAGTGTGGAGAATAGATTGCAGGGGGTTAGTGGTTTTGCTCAGCCATTTAGACATGTGATAAAACAAAATAATTTGAGTGTAATTTCATACTACTGTATCTGAATACCTGGTTATAAATAAAACCTCTCATTTGCCAGATAGGAAGCTGTTTGTTGAAATGTACCTCATTCTGGGATCTTTCAACTTATCACAGATTTCGAAATGTACAGTACAATGACTCACTATGAGGAAAACTAAAATATTACAAAGATTCCTCAATCACCAAACTCCGAGAAATAAATGCATTGAGGAGTCTGTGTTGGGCATATGGAGAAGCATATGTTCCCTCATCCTATGAGCTGGTGGAGCTGTGAAAGTGAGATTAGCCTCACAAAAAATGACAGAAAGAGAAATTTTATATATATTTATATATGTATCAAATGTGTACATGTTAAATTCCACTATAATACAAAGAAGAGAACAAAAATGTATAAATCTGCTGGAACATATAAATCTTGTGTTGGGAGACAGGATGAATTTATGGCTAGATTATATTAGGCTTATTCTCTATTAAGTACTATATTTCTGGGGCATGAATTGGCCTAAGGAATTTTTCAAATCCAGGTAGTAAGGAGTGATACAATAATGAGATTTATTGATAATAGTGAGATATAGTGGTTTATGAGAATAATAAATTACTTTTATAGAAGCATCATGCAAAATCTTAGGTGTATTCATGTGTGTTTACCTTATTATTATTGTTATCCATCAAGCACTTCACTTGTAATTTCTGCAATTTAAAAATATGTATTCATACTGAAAGTTAAAAAAAAAAATCTTAGTTCTATGAGTGCACACTAGCCTGAGTTCCCACTGCAAGATGAGCAGTCTTACTGCTTAGATCACATGACTATGGGATTCACTGAGATCTGATGAGGTCTGTCCAGAAAAAGTCCAACCATTGTTAATGCAATGAGAGCAGTCTGCGTGGCATCGATGTAACCTGGCAGCCAAGGAGAGCGGACTGGAATGTGCATATGTGAGCCACGACAACTTCACTGTTCTAATCAGTGGGGGCAGTAGACACCATTGAGTGAGCCTGTGTACTGTGTGGTTGTTGCATTCAAAATGATGAGTAGAGCAATGAATTTGCATCAAATTTTGCATTAAGGTTGAATATTCCTCTGCAGAAACTATTTGGGTGATTCAGAAGGCTTTCTGGGACAATGCAATGAGAGCAGTGAAAATAAAAGTATGGCACAAATATTTCAAGGATGGTGGAGAATCTGTTGAAAGTAATACACGTTCTGGAAGGCCTGCAACAAGCAGAACACCTGAGAATGCTGAAAGTGTATGGCCTGCAATCAGCAAAGATTGGCGATTGACAGTGTGAGAACTGGAGGCTGATCTGGGGATTCCAAATACTGTGTCTGAGATTTTGATGCAGGACCTTGGTATGAAACAAGTCATGGCAAAATTCATTCTGCTGCTTCTTCTACCAGAGCAGAAGAAAAATTGTGCTGCAGTTGCTTATGACCTGATTCAAACCATTGCCAATGAAGCAGATTTCCTCAAGAAGGTTGTAAGAGGAAAGGAATCATGGGTCTATGGCTATGATCCAGAAACAAAGGCCCAGTTGTCCCAATGGAAGTTGCCTGGTTCTTCATGCCCACAAGAAGTCACAGCAAGATCAAGACCATGTTAACTGTGTTTTCTGATTGGGAAGCTACTGTCCATTGTGAATACGCCTCTCCAGGACAAATAATTAATAAGAAGTACTACCTCAATGTACTTTGTCAGTTGGGAGAACCAATACAACGAAAATGGCTGCAGCTATGGGCAACTGGTAATTGGCAGCTTCATCACAACAATGTGCCTACTCATACATCATGTCTTGTGGAGAGTATTTGTTAAAACATAAAATCACCCAGGTGACTCAGCCCCCTACAGTCTAGATTTGGCGCCCTGTGACTTCTGGCTTTTCCCAGAACTAAAATCACCTTTGAAAGGAAAGAGATTTTGGACCATCAGTGAGATACAGGAAAATACAATGGGACAGCTGATGGCAATTCCAACAAAGGCTTTTACAGAGTGTTTTGAATAGTGGAAGAGACCCTGGGGGAACTGTGTGAGGTCCCAAAATGTCTACTGTAAAGGGGACTGAGGCATCATTGTCCTAAGTACAATGATGTTTCTTCTATCTTCTTCAATGAATGTCTTTATTTTTCATATTACATGTCCACATACTTTCCGGACAGATCTCATATGTATATCTTCATTGGAGTACTATCAATCTGTCGTAAGATCTGATTTTAATATAAATTCTTGGAGGTTTTATTTTTGGTAAATCTTTTAAGGGTTAAAGAAGACAGCTGGTATGTCTTCTGTTGGTTTTTTAACCCTAAAATACTATACTTGTAAAAACTTCAGTGTCTAAACTAAGTATCTGCAATAACTCCAAACTTAGAAATAAAAGAAACTCTAGCATCTTTTTTAACAATAAACAAAACTTTGAGTATCAGATTTTGCTGAAAACAGTTTAGAAAAGCTGAATATCATCCTGAAATACTTTGATTTTTTTTCTTTTTAAGTTGAAGGAAAGGAGTGGATGGATTGC